GCTGACTGAACCCTTCTCTCATTGCCTTCTTCAATAAAGCCTCCTCCTCCTCCAACACCACTGAACCCACCAACCTTTCTTTCCTACCTTCTTTCATCCTCTTTCCCCGAGCTTTGTCCATTCTCCATCAGTCTCTGGATCTTTGGTTCTGCTCTCTGATTCACTTCTCATCTTTTAGTCTGCTTTCCATTCCATAATTGTCACTCCCCTCTCCAAGACTGCCACCGATGCTGTTTCAGGTTCTAGGAATTCCTCCATCCCTGTGTTCTGTCACTATCCCTCCAGCACTTCTGGCAGCAATTCAAGCAGTATACTGGACTTCTGCCTGGCCACTGCGCCTGATCTTAGCCAAAGGCAGCTGAGAAACTATGGTACTGATAGAAGCCACCATAAGATAGCTAGTGCGGTCCATCAGAAAACGACATATATTGGTGCCTATTATGAACAGTTCCCCTCACCGATGAGTCTTTTTCAAGTCATGGTGAGCTATAACATTGCATACTCAGAATCCCTCTCTTGGTCCCTCCTTTCTCAGCCTGGGGCATATTATTGGTGTGGCTCTGCACTCCATAAAGTGAAGACGGACCAGGTTGCCCTGTGACTCATCTGCACATAAATATTTGGAGCATCCCAGGACTTGAGAAGAATACCCAGTTCCAATCATGAGTGGGAACTAATTAGCACATGGATCCTTTGTTGGGGGTATTTAAAGTATACACACATACTGAGCAGTGCTAAACTGTGGGGTCACTGTGGAGGGCAAAGCCACAATAATATGTGCCAGGCTGAGAGAAGACGCAACAGAGGAAGTTTGGGTAAACTGTATACAATGTCATGGTTCACCAAGGCTTACAATTCTGTTGACTCGGGTGGGGCCCAGCCCAGTGAATTGTGTGGTAAATCATGAGTCTTTTGGCTTTGGACTAATATCATGCATAGTTTATACTAGATGTAAATGGGTGCCAAAGTACTGCTCAAAAGTGTGTTTATGAAACACCTATGCTAAAAATGGCAGCAGTTAAAACCAAAACCAAAACCAAAACCAAAAACCTAACATGCATCAATTCCAGATAATACCAAGTCTATGGGTACAGCCATGTTTAATTTCAAAGTTATTTTTTTTTTCAAAATTGCTCCTCACTCCCACATACTCATGGAGA